TGTTTTTTGGTCAGCAACATAATCAAAATTAAAACTTTCTCCTTTTAATTCTTCAGAAAAATAAACCAAAGTCTTGTCATTTTCTGCTTTAATACAGACGTCATTGACTTCTCTTTCATTTTGTGGTCTAATTCTAATAGCAACTGAGACAGAACTGTTCATCACTCAATTATTTAGTAAATAAGAGTTTTTTCACTTTTTTCCTTTTAGTAAAAATTTATAATTATTTACTATTTTATTATAAGAAAATATGACAAAGAATCGTTAATAAGAAAATACTGTTTTAAATTATCTTAGCTCTTCATAAATAATTATGTTCAAAGATGCCTTTATACTGAGCAGTTCCATCCATTCTCATAAATATCATTTGACAAACTCTCTCTCCTGGATACAAACGGATTATTCTCTATAGGTATAAATTTCATTTCTTTTTTTTTTTAATAAAAGGAGAATAAAACAAACATTTGATGAATTATATATTTCTAAAACTTGTCTATTTGAGATTCCTGGATTCATAAATGATGCAGTAATATGAACAAAAAGTCCTAATCGAGCAAATCTTGATCTTCCTTCTAATAATCCACAAATTCCATTACTTAATGTAACAGTCTCCCTTGTAATACCAAGACAAGTAGTATGTGGTTGAACCTCAAAGTACTCTCCATCTTTGATTGTAATAACATCTGTTTCCTCTCTATAATTGGTAGATTCTTTAATGTCCATTGGACAATCTTTATTTTTAAATATTCTAAATTCATTATCAAGACTTAAATCAACACTTGCTGGTCCAACAGCATTTTCATTTAATGGAGTGATAACAATCTCTTTTGTTTGAAAAGCTTTTAAGATAGCGTCATGACTTAATACTGACATGTCAAAAGTTTCTAAAAAATTTTAGAAATACTTTATATATAGATAAGGGTTTTCTTCGTTTAGTATTAACCCTAATATTTTATCAAATGTTATATATGACATTAAAAAAAGAAAGAAAAAAATAAAACTGAACTTAAACCAAAAAAGAATTATTTTAGATGCTCACTTCTAAAAGAGGTGGACTTGTTTATGATAAAGAAGCTAATTTTAATGAACCTATGATGAGAAATTGCGTTGGAATTAGTCATTTTTTTGTATTTGATGTATTTGACAAAGCATTATGTTTCTTAGATAAAGTTGTTCAAATAGGATGTTATGGAGATGCAGCAACATCACAAGAAAAACATAAAATTTGGGTAAAAAGAATTTGTAGTAATAATGAGTATAATAAAGGGAAAGAAAAAACAAGTAAAGTAGGTTGTGGTGCACATGCTTTTGTCAGAGAAGTACAATTACGAACAATAATTCATGGGACAATATTTAAAAAAGAACAAGTTATTTTCAACTTTGACAATAATATTTATTCAACTCATAAAGTTTCATTTCTTCCTTTATTTGAGCCTAAAATGTTTAGTTCAAAGTATCAAATTGTTATGAAAAAAAAAGTAGTTCTTGTTACTATTGGAGAAGGACATTCTGCAGCATGTAAACAACAAATGCAAATGAACTGTTTCCAATTAAAACATAAAAAAGAAAAACAATCAAAAGACCTTAATGAAAAAGGTGAAACTTCAATTCAGTCAATAAATCCTCCTTTACAATCACCTTTTGTTATTTGTCAACAACCATTTCTTCAGTCTGATTCAAAACAAGAAGAACTTCATGATAATAGTAAATGTGCATTTACTCAAGGAGTAGTTAATTATGATGGTAGATATTATTTTATGTGTAATGAAGATGAAATGGCTAGAAAATATCTTAGTCGGATTGATTCATTAACAAAAGAAGTTCTTGCAGATATTGAGAATAATCCTTATGATCAACGCCTTCAATTATTTATTCAACTAATTCAAAATACTAAAAAGGCATTTGTCCAATAAAATATGAATTTAAGAATAAATAAGAAGGTTATGACTTTGTCTCTTAGTGTTAGAGTCTTGTCTCTCATTTTCTATAGTTTAATGATTTTTGATTTATATTTTTTTTTTTTAATATTTTTTTTTTCTAAAAAAGTCATAAAAAGATAAACTATTTGAAGAATTAATCTGTTATCTTACAATCTTCATTTATACATTTCATGGGTGGATCTTCTTCAAAACAAAATTCATCTAGACAACCAACAAAAAGTAATACTTCTGTTAAAACCGCTGATACTAGAAAAATGATTCCTGATAATTACCAAACAATGGAAGAACTTCAACAAGGATTAAGAGAAGCTGGTTTGGAAAGTTCTAATTTGATCCTGGGAATAGACTATACTAAATCAAACACATGGACTGGACAACATTCTTTTGGTGGTCAATGTCTTCATACTATTAATCCACAAGATCCAATATTTAATCCATACCAAAAAGTCATTGATATTATTGGAAGAACATTAGATCCTTTTGATGATGACCATTTAATTCCAGTTTATGGATTTGGAGATATAACAACAACAAATAAATCAATATTTTCATTTTTACCAAATGATGCACCTTGTAATGGATTTGGTCATGTTTTACAACGATACAATGAAATTACTCCAAGTGTTCAAATGTCTGGTCCAACTAACTTTGCTCCATTAATTAATAAAGCTATTGATATAGTTCGTAAAACTCAAGCATATCATATTTTAGTTATTATTGCAGATGGTCAAGTTGATAATGAAAAAGCAACTAAAGCAGCAATAGAACAAGCTTCTAATTATCCTATTTCAATAATTTGTATTGGAGTAGGAGATGGACCATTTGATAAAATGGAGACTTTTGATGATGAGTTAGGTAACTCCAAGTTTGATAATTTCAATTTTGTTAATTTTAATAAAGTTATTGGACCAAGAGTAGAAAATCCTGACATTGCATTTGCTGTTGCTGCTCTTCAAGAAGTTCCTATTCAATACATGTGTTGTAAGAAATTGGGATATTTCTAATTTATTAAGTTTATTTTATATTTTTGGTTTGGACTTGGAAGTTGCATGTAACAAACAATACACAAACTTTAAAATAAAACAATGTTTCGAATAGTCTGTTATTGTCTGGTTTTGACATTGCTTTTTTATAAAAAAAAACATCTTACTCATTATTCCATAGATGGTAGTGATTAATATTTATGGTTGAATATCATTTGTTATTATTGAAGAATATGTATTTATAACAATGATAGTATTATTTCCTTATTGACAGACAAGAATATTTGATAATGAAGGAGTTTAATATATTGTGTATTATAAAAGAAAAATGATATTTATGTTATTGATGACAAATGAAATTATTCATAACAACACAGTGATAATAGTATATTCTGTCATCATAAAATAATACAGTTAAGAATGAAGAGTTTTAACACATAATAAAAATTAAAAAAAAAGATGAAATAGTTATGTAAATGAGAAACAATAAGATGACGAAGTATGAAACACTTTAATTCAATTTATATAAAGGAATGAAGAATAGAAAAACATCCTTCTCAATATGTAAAAAAAATTAAAGAAGTTAAAGAATAAATGAATGGTTGATAAACAAACAATATTAACTCAGAAAATTATGATTACTCTCTGATGATCAAAGAAGAATCGCAAATAAATTTATTAACATTGAATTAACTACGTTTTATTTATTAATAATAAAATTAGTTTATTCTTCATTCATTATTAACACAATATGTCTATGGCTTATACAACATTTTCAATCATTTCATTCTTTGTTTTTTGTTAATTACTGTTTATTTATTGTATAATCAATAAGTTATATTTTCTTGTAATAATAGACATTCTATTTCACTTTAACCAAGTAAAAGACTATCTACACAATCACTACAGATAATTTGACCACAAGGAAGTGTTATTGGATTAGTTAGAGGGGTTAAACACAATGGACAAGTCATCTAGAAAATATCTAAAAAAGATCTGTTAGAAAAAATAATAAAAATCTTTCAAGTAATGATCCAACATAATTTTCCTTCTGAACATACAATTGAATCTATTTCTTCATACCTTATTTCTCTTAATAAGACAATTAATTTACATTCAGTGTTATTAAACCATTATTTATCTCACACATTACATATTAATACTTCACCTCAAGCTATTAATTATCTTTCTCAACATCCTGATAACGACTTAATGAAATATTTACAATCTCTTTATTCTTTTTCTATTGAAGATTTTAATGCATTTACTTCTCATACTACTGAAATAGCTTCACAAGAAGATTCAACGAAAGAACAACTCATACAAATGTCTCCTGAAGCTTTTGAAATTGCTGTTGACTGTTCTGTAGGACGTATTCCACCATCACCATTATTACCAATTATTGCTAACTTAGCAGCACAAAAACAACTTAGTGATATTAAAGTGAGATATGTTGAAGAACGACTACCAGTTCCTTATTCAGTAGCACTTGTAAAAAATAAAACAGATGAATATGGAGGTATTGATGAAAAGTATATTAAACAAGTTATTGAATGGACTGCAACTCATAAAGCAGAAGTTGTATATAATTCTGATGTAAATGGAAGAGACACTCTTTCATTAAATAGAAGTTTATGTAATAGAACGAATTTTAGTATTTTTATAGTTACAGGAACTACTGATGTTTTTGGATCGTTTCATGGTAAGAGTATTTCTTCACCACCAAAAAGTAGATGGGAGGCTGTACAAAATGATGATAAATTCTTTGTTTTTACATGTAAAAATTCATTTGGTATTCCTATGACACGATATTTACCAAATGAAACAAGTGATTCATTAATAATTTTTCCTAATAGAGGTATTAACTTATTTACTATCTTTGGTTGTTATCAGATTGGTCAATTTGAATGTTCACCAATGAAGAAGAGAGAATTTATTAAGAATTTTAAAGATGCACCTCCATGTGGTACTGAATTATTTAGTGGATTAAGAAATGATAAATTTGTGGCTCAAAAGATAATTGTCTTTCAGTTAGAATAAATAAGAAAAGAAATGTATTGGTATTTAATTTAATTACTTAATTGTGTTGTTCAGGTTCATTTTGTAAATGTGATTGAATTACTATTTTATCATCAAGTTTTTGAGGGATATTTTGTAAAGAGTCTCTATTAATTGGAATATTAGGAAGTGGTTTATTTGGGATGGTTAAATGATTAGAAGATGGAAGTGGTTGTTGAGAATTAACTTCATTAATTTGAGAGTTTTGAGAAGGAGTGTTAGTATTATTATCAACAGTATTTAATAATGGAAAAAAAACATCTAAAGAGTCGAAGATTTGATGATAATTATCAATGAAATATTGAGTACAAGTTGTTGCAGGATTATCAGGACGAACTAAGTCTAAAGCTTCTTGATGATTAAAAATATTAGGACCAAAGATTAATGAAAGATTTCTTGAATCCATTTTATTTAAATCACTCTTTTCAGTAATTTGAACTAAAAACCCAATTAATGATTTTAAAACATTTAAATGAACTCTATACATGAATTAATATTAAAATAAGAAAGAAAGAAAAGAATATTACAAACTGTGGTAATTCTTTTAATACATTTTGTAATTTTTTAATTGTTTGGTTTTTATCTATTTTATCTAATTCAATAAATACAAGAAATAAATCAGTATTTTCTTCTGTAACTAAACTATCAGGTAATTCTCTAAAATATAATTTAAATAATGAAGCTATAGTATGAATATTTTCTCCTTCTAATTTGACTTCTTTTCCTTCATTATATTCTTTCTTTAAATTATTAACAACTGACATATTTCCTGGTATTCTAAATAATCCTTCTGTTTCTAATAATGTTGGATTTTCTTTAAAATATTTTAATGAATCATACACTGGTAATGGAAGTCCTTCTTTTAATGGAACATCTTCTAATAAAACACCAAATATTTGACTATTCATATTCTATTTCTTAGTTCTTATATTTTTATCATTTTATTTTTTGTTTTTTCTTTTTGATGTTTCAAAAAGAAATTATTTGTGTTTTTTTATTTGAAATTCCTTTAGAATAATTGAAGAAATTCCTTCTGTTATTTCGCATTTAAAAACTCATTACTATCAACTCAACACTTTGGATAATTCAAGTTTAATATTGTCTCAATCTAAATAGAATTCATTGGATGTTACATTTATTAATTATTCTTTTCTTTCAACCACTTGAAAACAAACAATTTCTATTCAACGAAATACTTGTTGGATAAATTACATTTCCCTTGTTAGTCCTTTAAGCAACTATAACATTATTACTTTTATGAGTTAGTCAAATTACTTTTCTTGAAAATAATAATTCATTCAAATTTAAAAAGAAGAAAACTTGAAATATAGCTTTATATATTTTAATTAAAGAATTAGAATTACCTCCATTCTTTGTTCAATGTAAAGAGAATGAAGTTAACACCATAAAATAAATTGAAGAATGTTAATACCATTAAAAAGAATCAATGAAGGTGTAAAAAGAAGATAAGTAAAATATCAATTAATTAGTCATCGAATAAATTATGTGCTAAATCGTCTTTCTTCATAGAAATAATATTTCTTAATTGATTAAATTTATCAGGTTCAAATTGACAAGTTTTACTTACATCTTTAATAAAAGATTCTAAGGAAACGATAAGTTTTTTGATGTTTTCTTTAGTAAGAGTTTTCTTTGCTAGTTTATATTTTTCGTTTTGATTTTCTTCCTTTTCACCACCAACATTACAATTAGCAAACGAAAATAATTCTCCTACATCCTCTTTTTGTTTGGAATGTTCTGATTCAAATATTCTGTTATTTAATACTTTTATTAGAAAATTTTGAATTTGTGACCAAGCAAGTTCTAAACAACTGTTAACAAAACCTTTATTTTCGTCAATTTTTGTTAGTTCAACAGACTCTGCTTTTTCTACTCTTTCCTTTAATTCTTGTTCTGCTTTAGATTGAATGGATTTTAACTTTCTTCCCCATCCTGATCTTTTTAATGCAGCATTTGACTCTTTTAATTTAGATACAGCTGATGTAGCAAATGAAATATTAATTTCATCAAGACAAATGCTTTTACTATACTCTGGCATTTTAGTTCTTTTGAATTCTTCCATTTTTGTACAAAGGGCAACATGAACACAAATTAATCTAAAGACAACTTTCAAACACATATCAAATCTATCTACTGATGATAAGTGTTGGGTTTTTCCTTTAATCTTTTGAAATGTTGATGAGTCAATAAAAGAAAGTTGTTCAGGTACTTTTTTATCAAGAGATAATCTATGAAGACCAAATACAGAAGATAGTTTATTAACAGTCCCTTCTAAAACAGCAAATGCAATTTGTTCTGAAATTTTATCACCTAAAACACATGAGGCATTACTTAATGCATACATTTGTTCATTATAATCATAATCTGGTTTTAATGCTAAATTTTCTTGTACACACATTTCTGCATCAATTTCATAATTTGTATATCTATGAGGATATTGATTTACTTGTTGATGTTTTGCATATTCAATTTCTGCTGCTGTCATTGAAGTACTTGTTATTCCCATTGCATATTTCATACATAATGTTTCTAAATTATTTTTCATTATATATGCAAATTGTTCACGAAATCGTTCCATATCATCTAATGTTTTTTTTAAATCAACAACTTTTTGAATAGCTGGTGATTTACTAGCATTACATGCTCTATTAATAAGAAGAATGGCATGAAGGTAATAATTTTGAGAAGTATATTCTTTAATTTCTTGTGGTACTTGTAATAACCATTTAATAGTTTTAATATATTCTAATACATATCCTTGTTCTAATCTATCTTTATATACTTCTGCAATTTCTTCTGATCTTTTAGCTGTTTCTTCATTTTCTGCTGTTATTATTTTACTACGACTTTCAACTAATCCTTTCTTCATTTCTTTGATATTTGCATTTATTTGATCCATACGTGTTTTAATTTGTGAATAATTGTGAATTGTTTTGTTAAATCCTGAAAAGTATTTATGTACTACAATTCCCATTGCCTTTTCAGCTGCTACTAATCGAACATTTAAATCTCCTGTATCTGCCATTGGATCTCTTAAAATGGGAATAATTTTATCTAATGAAACAAATTCCTCAGATCGATATTCTTGAGAAACCATTTGAGTACAATCACGAATTTCTTTACTTTCAACCTCTGTCAGAAATCCATCCATTGTTTGATCCTTTTTGGTTTCGTTCATTCGTTTTTAAAAATGTTTTTCAGTATTTTTTCTTTCTTTTTTTTTTAGTTCATGAGTTTTATTTTTATGTCTTTCTTTTTGTTATATTTTTCATCTTCTCAAAAATCTTAAACAATCTCTCATGAACTTGAAAAAAAAAAACTAAACATAAAACAATTTTACTGTATTAATGCAGGAAGCTGAAGAAATTTTATTTGGATCGTTGCATAATTGTGGTGTTGTGATTCCAAAAGGAATTGATACACTAAAAGGAATAATTAGTGAGAGTGGAGTATTTTATAATTTAACAACACAAATACTTAAAATAATTGACCAACAAAAATATGGAATATTCACTGACTCAATTCCTAAACAAACTTCAGAAAAAGTACGTGTTTGTGCAAAGCAAGCATCAATCATTAAAGAGATGGGGTTTAATGAACCAATTGGTTATCATCAAATATTATATCCAAAAACAACAGACGTTACAAATATTTTAAATTTTTTGATGAAGCATATTCCTGATGACTTATCTACCAACAAATCAATCAGAAACTCCATTAGTAAAACTTTGTATGACATTGTCCATAACATGAATGATGAAAAAAAGAGAAGAATCCCTCCACAAACACCAATAAGACAAAAAGATATTAACCAAAGAAAAAGAGTTAACTCAATCCTCCAAAAAATCTTACAAAAGAAAGTAGAAGAACAAAATGATGTGATAGCAGAAATGAAAAGTAATGCAAAGACTCAAGTTAGAAAAGAAATTATTAAAAAAGAAGAGAATGAAGAAGAAGAAAAAAAAGAAGAAGATGTAATGGTTGCTGTTGAATTAAAAGAAAGTAAAAATGAAAAGAAAATTCGATTAGAAAGTGAATTAGATGAAATAGTTAAAGAAAGACAGCAGGTTGAAGATATATTACAAAAAATCAAAACAAGAATTGAGAAAGTAGAGGATTATATCAATGAAGGTAAAAATGAATTAAAAGAAATGATAAAAGAAAAAGAAGAATTAATGAAAAAACAAAAGACACTTGAGAGACAAAAAATTATAAGAGAAAAAGTCAAAGACATTGATGCAAATGATAAGGATGAATATATAGAAAAATTAGAAGAACTTAAACAAAGTGAAATGAATAAATTAGAAGGTCTTAAACAAAAATGGACTCTTTATGAAGATGAAATGAAGAAAGAAGTCCAAGAAAATGAAAAGAAAAATAACGTAATTATTGAAGAAACAAAACAAAAAGCAAAAGAAGTTAAACAAATAAGACAAAAAGGAAAAGCCATCATTCTTGAAATCCAAAGTCTAGATGAAGACATTAAAGAAAAAGAACAAGTAAATGCAAGACTCGATAAAAGAATGCAAAGACAAATATATATTGATAGAACTATTTCTATGACTAAATTCTTAAAGAAACAAGACAAAGACCTTGAAAAGATATTCAACGACACAAATATTATAAAATCTGATTTAACTCAATTGAAAATCAAAGTCTCTGAGAATTATATCAATCTTATTAGACTAATTAGAGAAAATACAAAATATAAAGAAGAAACAAAACATTCACTAATCACTCAAATAACTAAAATGAATGATTTGTTTAGTTCATTAGTTTCATTAGAGACTCAACGAGGAGAACTCAACTCAACTACACTTCTCAGTCAAGAAAAATACGAAAAAACACAAAGTAGAGTTGAAGAATTAGGATATGTTGATGTTAAAAAAGACTTTGATGAACTACATAAATTAAATCTTGAAATGATAAATAAAATAAACGAATTCAATCAAAAACAAGAAGCTTAATTTAGAATAACTAATACAATAATGGTTTGTTCATTTTCTATAATATAAAAAAGAAAAGGGATTTATTTTTAAGTCATTTATAAATAAAAAAAATAAGAAAATTTTATTATGAATAAATTTTAAAGTTATACCTCAAATAATGTATAATCAATGTAATATTATCTGTATGTATCAAATTTTATTTTTTCAATGACAAAAAATAACAAGAATTAACTAATTAAAAACTTGTTTTAATTAATATGATTTTAATTGTTCACAATTTGAGACAATAACCTTGCATTGAGTTAATTCAGAACGATTAATTTGTGATAAAGAACTATTATCGTCAAGAGATAAAATTTGTAATTGTTTTGGTAGTTGTAGTTGTTTAATTTTTGAACAATTAATAAATTGAGCATCAACTAAACTAGTAAATGGTCGTAAGTCTTGAATAGCTTCAATAGAATCAACATCAACAATATTTAAATGGACAATACTTGTTGATAATTTAAGAACACGTAATTCTGGTAACATTTCAACATCAAATCTTTTACATTTTGTCATTTGTGAAAGGTCTATTTCTTCTAAAACATCACAATCTTTATAACTAACTTGTTTAACAGAAGTAGGAAGAGTGACTTGTTTAATATGTTCACATCTATCGATGCTGAAATTTTCAATCAAAGTAGTAGTTAAGTCTAAATGAATTAATTTTTGAGATTGCATTAAAGTAAATTCTTTAAGACTTAATGGTAATTGCATAGTTGTTCCAGCAAATTGACCTAATTCCAAATTAGTTAAATTAGTTAATGAAACTAAATTGAGAGAAGTAACTTGAGTACAATATGACATTTTTAATATTTGTAAATTCTTAGGGAAAATAGGATTTTTTAATGATTCACAATCGGCAAGAATAAGTTGAGTACAATTGTTCAATGTTC